GGATGATCCGTCCCTCTCCTTCAGTCAGTCTGTTCAGCATCACTGACCGGTTCTCGTGCGTAATGCCTCCCTTTTGATGCCACGGCGGCTTGGAAATCGCTGAATCGCACATATACATTATGCCGCACCAGAGGAATCTCAATAGATGCTAAAGCATATGATATAGGTTTTATCTGTTAAACTGAGCTTATGCAATATTTGATGATTGATTTGTTCTAAACTGACTGTTGAAAACAAGAAAAAAAATCATCATCAAAATGCCGTCAGATTCCTACAAAGTATGACTAAAACGAATGAAATTCATTTTCATAACTTTCTCTTCATCTTTTCTTAACACTTTGTAATGTCTTTATATTCTCCTTTTAAACCGTTTCAGGAAAAATGACAAGCACTGCAAAAGAAATACCCTTCTCAAAACAAGTAAAAAAAATATACAGATTTATTATAACAAATAAATCTATCAAAGGACTTACCACCTTTTATCAATATTGAAGAATTATTGACTTAAAACAAGTTCCCACGTTTTCCTAAAATGTTACTTTTATCTGAGCTTTGTCTTATTTCAACTCGCCTGAGATATTTGCACTAGAAACTAGGTAAAAAAAACAAAAAAACTTGGTGAGATTTTGTGTTTTTTAGCTGTTAGAAGAATGACTCAACTGGGTTTTACAAACAGAAGCTAACATTTACAGTCTTCCTCATTTCCACTCTTGGGATTACAGCCAATCAGTAGCAAGAAAAACAATTACTCCTGAAACGGCTGCTTTGCTATTGCCAGTCAATAGTGGCAAAGTGCCAAGGAATATTTTAGTAATGCCCTACAAAAATAAAAAAAATAAAAAACTCTGAAGTGTGTTGTTTTTACAACATGGTGTCAAGTTACGAAAACTAACTTATGTGCATTTAATCTTAAATTTATGAGACATGAAGGGAAAGTTAGTTTGCACAACTTCAGAGTAAAAAAAAAAGGGACGAGTAAAAAAACTACAAAGAAAAACCCAGGGATAATCAGCACTCCAACATATTCTGAAGATTTAATAAAGACAAAAACACACTGCGCCTCGGCTACATGACATCATCAGCTTGTTACAATCTGTCTATGGGCTTTCAGCCAATCAGAGGCAAGCAGGGCAATCAGCCTAAAGAAGAGACATCTGAGAAACGCGCACAATCAGTGGCAAACAACAATAATAACATTCAACTTTCTGTACAAATATCAGCACAAATAAATCCATAAAATCACAAAAATTATATAAAGCTGTTCAACACTAACTCTTCGTGAAGTTATTTAGAGTTTACTGTCTGTAAATGTTTGTTGTAACATGACAAAATGTAAAAAATAAAGGTTGAATGTGAATGATGATGTTGGAATATTTTCTATTTTTGTTAGTAAAACAACCTATTTAATCAGTTTTAATATTTAATTTTTCCTTTTTTTACATTTTGTTGAAACTCACTGTGTCGTGACAGTATGTTAAAAGGCAAATATGAAAAAAAATATAAGTCTTCTGCCTTCTCCCAGTTCTAACTAGAAACAACCAATCAGAGACCAGAGGCGGGTCTTAGCGCTGTCTTCCCTTTTCCTTCCTGATAGCAGAGCTTGTAGTGAATGCTAAGGCTAGCTAGCATAGCCACTGATGATGGTGGATAAATGGCTCTGCCGTAAATGTAAGTTGTTTCTCCAAACAGTAGCGCATTTAGCAGCGCATACTTCAGTTGATTGACAGCGCTAAGCCCCTCCTCCTGGCTTTGACTGGTTGTTTTTGACCAAGAGCGTAGCATTTCTTCAGACAGCAGTCACGGCACAGGGAGGCGGTGGAGGAGTTGGATTCTTCTCACAGATTATCTGTATCACTGTCACAACATTTTAACAAATATGTGAAAAACATATATATTTTTTTTTTATAAAAGTTACACATTGCAGCTTTAACCTTATCAGGGAGAAGTTAACTGAATCACTAGGAAGTGATTCTTGGCAGTGAGGAATCCCGATAAGCCAGCTGATTTAAAGCTAACATATATTTTTGGCGTACCAACTATCAGACTCCTCATCTCTCCCTTGATCTTCCCTTCTTTCCTTTTTTATTTCTTTTTGTTCAGCCCAAGTATTTCTAGACACGTGTTTTTCATTCTGCTTCTATCAAACACACTCTGTCGCCCCGTTTTCAGAAAACTGCTCCTGCATAACCTCACATTGCTCTCAGCTTGAGTTACTTTGTTGGCAAATTGGCCCACTGCTGATTCTTTAAACCTTTTATTTTTTTCTTAATGCTTTGGGCCCACAAACCTTCAAAGCCACACAACGTCAGGTCGGATCATTAAAATTAGATCAAGAGATCTCAGCGGGAACTTAATGGGTTTTTCTCAAGACTCGCAAAACACAAGGAGCCACTTCCTTTCGCCCCCCGACGTTGTTTGGACAGGTGAGCGAAACTGCAAGCTAAGCCTCTGTCTCCACCTCAGACAGCCAGGCCGCTCCAACGCAAACAGCGGTGCAGTTAAAAGATAAGCAGAAGAAAACCAAAAGAGCGAGTCCTCAGCTTCGCCTCATGTTGCCTTAATACTCAGAGCTGATCCCTAACTCCTCTCTCAGATGTTGTCCACAGCTGATTTGCTCCTCTTTTTATTCTTTCCGCTCTCCTCTGTTGCTATGATGGAACAAATGGCACAAGATGTTTGCGCCTGCTGTTATACTTCAGCTTCCTCGTGTCTGCGTCTGCAAGTCCTTTTGTGAATGTTTCTGTTTACGCTGCACATTTTGCTGAACTAAACCTGCTCTTTTACCCCCATGTTTTTTGTTTTTTTTATCATTATTTTTTGCTAAGCTTGTAAAGTCTTTGCTCAGTCAGCCTGATTGGAATGTAAGGCCTTGATGTGGGTGAGCAGCTCATGTAATCAGGAAAGAAAACATGAGATTTTTCTTTTGTGCTGATTAGCCTTTCTAACCATCTGATTAAATTGAAACTTACATAAGGAGTACATGTTCTCCTGGGAAATCTTATATTTACGATGCTTAATTCCAGCCTGGTGTCCAGCTTACTGCTTCTGGCTTCAAACTCTTATCTCCTTGTTTTCCTCTTTAAAGGTGAACATTCTGGTTAACATAAAGTTTTATAGTTGTGACTTCGTTACACAGCAATCCTAGCACTACAGACATAAACGCTGCTCTTGGAAAAAAAAAAAAAAACATCTGTAGAACTTTCTTAGCAAGCCTTAATGCAGTTCGTCAAAGTTGTATGTCAGGGTGACCGTTGCCACAGCCTCAATTTGACTTTATTTAAGAGGTAAAATCGATTTTAAGAAAATGTTTGTCGTTTTTGCTACTGTGAATCTTAGGAAGGTAAACTCATATGTGACTGTTGTAAAGGTGAAGTCACAAAGCTCCAGTTTAAGAACTTTTTTGTTCACTTTTGTGCAGACTTAATGTTTAATTTGAAAAGGAAGCAAAGTAGTTAAGTAATAAAAGCAGAGGCAGTTAAAAAAAACACATAAGGGAGTTTGAAATAAAAAGTAATGTCATCTGCATAAAGAGAAACCAAATGTGAAGCAAATATGAAAGCCCTGAATGTGCTCACGTCTTTGGAGGGATATTACAAGAGGTTCAATGACTAAAACAACCTAGCATGGTCCTAGTTTAGTCTGAAACATTCAGGTTTTTTTAATTATTGGTGTAAAATAATCAAAATGGGATTGATGTAACTAACACAGTTCTATTCTTTCACAAGAACACACTCTGTCTGGCATGTCGTCTGAAAGTGTGTGAACAGTTTTACTTTCTAACAAAGCAGTTCTGCTTAGCTAAGCTTTGCTTAATGTGGTTACGTAAGCTACTCTCTACACAGCCTAACGCCTTCTTTTCTTTCACTCTTCGAATTTGGTCGCTTTGTTTGTTTCACAACTCTTAATCTCCACCTCGTTAGTTAGTTAACAGGTGGTCCGTTTGCCCCTTCCTGTAAGGCTCTCAGCTAATAAAACTGCTGCAAACTCACAGAGCTAGTCTGGACAGAGGAAATGTAGGCCGCCTCTCAGGGAGACGTTTCGTAACAGTCCGGTTTTATAGAAGCTTTCCTGGGGAGACTAGCTCCTATTTACTCAGCCTTCAGGCGCCTTTTTGGTGATAAAGGGAGCTGCTAAATTAGACCCTAGATTTAATTACTTGCCTCTTTTCTCTATGTGTAGCTGGCAGCTAATGTGGTTCACGCTAATTATGATGCTACACAAGATTTCCTTGTGTACTTAAACAGCTAAAATTCAAAGTTGATACTGTTTCTTTTAAAGTCTAGTGACAGCTAGCTTACTTTTGTAGCTGTTAGTTTTATGTTTTGTCAATCATAGCTGCTAAATGTTTGATAAAATGTAATGAGTAAGTCAAATTCATTTGTTGTTAGCTGTATTAATGCAAGTTGGAACTTTACTCCTGTACTGGAACTACTCTCATCAACAACCGCAAGTCAAAAAACAAGCAACTTCGCTAGTTGTTGTGCTAAGTGACGTGGCAAACTAGTTGTAGTGATAAATCGACATCAAAGGTTTTTTCTTTTGTTGTTTTTTTTATTTATTTTTCAGCATTCAAAGACTAAAGGTACATTTTCACAAACAGCTTGTCTTGAACTATGTGTGGCAATGAGATACAATCAAATATTTCTGCAACCTTTGCTACGTTTTACAAACATGGCGATCATATTGGATTTGACATTGGGGTCGCTCTGTGACCTCCAACTTTCCGACATGCTTTGACAACTTGTACAAAAAAAAGGAAGCCATAACAATAGTTTGACTTAAAGTGAAATATTTGACCATTGTGTTTCTCCTTGCATATTTCCAGCTTGTTCTTTACACTGTGGATGTTTTGAGCCTCAGTTGCTCTTGGCCAGCCACGCTGTAATTTTCCTGTTTAAACGCTTTGCCATATGGAGCTCAGTCTGTTCGATGGCTTAAAGTGAACTATTTTTGTGGTTCCCAGTGCTGCTTTGGTAAGACACATCTTACAATAGTATGAGGTAGCTGTGGAGTATATGGAAGTTATCGCCTACGTAGAGATACAGAGAAAACTTTATGATGTTTCTCACATTCATTTGTGCTCTCCCGTTCTGCAGGTCTGGCAGTGTGATTGGCCACTGGAATGAAATCTTTGAATTCGTGAAGAACTTGGCAGAGAAGTTTAAAAGGTAAGAGATTCTTCACAAGCATGTCCGCGATCGCATAGTCTTGTTAAAGTAAGCCGGCAGAGAAGCATTAAACAGGGTTTAATTGGTGGGTAGCCAATGTGTAAAACTTCATTGTTGGTGTCCTGACAGCTACTGACTTCCTGGTTAAAGAATCTATTGTTACAGGAAAACACACCTTACTAACTTGGTAAACAAAACGTTATACCTCCCACACCTGCAAATAAATACAGACCAATTCAAACCAACGCCTCTTGTTGGTTTGGTTGCTTTCAGACACTGGAGGTTTTGGGGCCTTAAATACAATAAGCAGTATTGGGTTTATATCCTAACATTTGTCTAAAGATTCTGTTCAACGAATTCAACTTGTTTTTGTTCAATAAATCATTTAATAAATTTAAATTCACACATTAAAAACAAGCCGTACAGATTTTGGGCCGTCTTTTTTCCTTTCTTTTTTTTTTCCTGCTTTGTTTTTGCCAAATACTACCTCCTCGTTTCTCCTTGGCCGAAGGATCCATTTAGAGCAGAGATCTGTTCTTCCCCCAAAGTTTCATCTTTAAATAAACACGACGGAGAAGCACGAACAACAACAATCCTTTAGCTTGCCGTCTGTCATAAACAATACCGCGTCCACCTCGCAGGCTTGGAACCTATCAGCAAAACTTTCCCCAAACAGACTTCATCTACAAATAAACACAAATTCACATGTTGAGATGCTGTGACATAGTTTTCATATCAAAACTAGGTCACTGCCTGTCACTGGGGGTTTGGTTCCTGCCCTCTGGTACAACTCTGTCCATGTTATCATTGTATTCCTGTATATTCAGAGTGACTTGCACAATTATGCTCCTTAAAATTTTTCATGTTTTGTCCCATTCCAACCGCAAATGTCAGACCACACCTCATTTGTAAATAGAGCTTTTAATTTCAGTATAAATCCAGCAGTTCTTCAAAAACAGGTCTGTTTGAGGAAAGCAGCAAGAAAACACATGAATCTTTCTGTCGGTGACATCATACTCAGATTGTTGGCACGGTTTGTTCCACAGCTAACTGCTCTGTGTGTTTATATATTCTAACGTTTTGTTTTTTTTCTCTTCCCTTCCCCGTTCCAGTCCCATGCTGAGGATGTCCTTCATAACATTCAGCTCCAGAGCGTCCACCATCATGAAGCTAACAGAAAACAGGTGATTTCACTTGGCTCTAATTTCACTGGTAATATTTTAATAGAAATTCATTTACTGGGATTAACTGTAACTGTTATATAAAAGCAATTAAAAGCAGACTGTGTCCATCGCTGAGGACGTTGTTTCCTTTTTCACATGCTGGCACAATGTGAGGTTGTAATTAAAGATCTCTGAGATGTCAAACTACTAGAGGAGGAGCAGAAATCCCCCCTTTAAAAAAACAAACAAAAAAAACATGAATTTACCTCTCCCTCTGACGGATAAACTAGGTCATTTATATTTTCTACACTGTTCTTTTTCCCCTACTACTTCCTCTATTTTAAAGGTCAGCTCTACAACTTGAACTCATCAGAAAATCCCCTCTTTTAAGCTGGGAAACGCAAATGACAGATTGATGGCAGATTTCACTCCCAAGCTCCGTCATTGTCCCCAGTTTGTGTGGACAGTTTGTGCCGATCCCTCGACCCTTACAGTGTTTGCGGTGAACTCGTCCAGGTTGTTAAAACATCGAACCGCACAAAGAGGCTGAAGTAATATTATAGCTAGCCAGTGGTTAAACTTGCCAGTTAAAAATCATGCTGTATTTCCTCTACGGTAAAACTCCACGATCGGCTCCAAAATCACATCTGGTTCGTTTTTATGTGAGCCTTTAAAGTTCTATTTTATTTTTTTTTATGGAAAACATTTTTTTCTACAAAGTTTGCTGCTAGTGAAGGTTAAAGCACTAAAGCTTTTACATGTTATAACATGTGGCACAGTGTGTAAAGTTACACACTCAAAATTTAAAGGATTTTTTTGTCTATCTTGCTAGGTGGTTGCTTTAACATTTAGCTAAATGTCTCAATAGGTGTAGTTAAATATTTAAGTAAACGTCTAAATTGTTAGACGAAGTTGTAACCATATATGTTGCAAACAAGTGACGGTGAAAACTACCTCGAAAACATCAGAAAATATTGCTGTAAAAATTTTTTACAAAAACCTAATTTTCCAATTCTCTACCACATTTTACCAACTGATTGCAATTGACTGGACATACAGATTATATATGCCAACTATGTTTTCTTAAAAAAGTCATTTACGAATCAGCCTTTGCTTACAAAGTTTCCACTATGACAAAAAATTAACATCAGTGCCATGTATATGCAGTAAATTAAGATTTCAATTAATATCACATGGTCTACATTATTATTGCTACTGTGTAATACTTGTGGATGCTGCAATCTCTATCCAGCTCTCCTGATAGCAACAGATATTTCATTTCAAGCAGAGTTTCTGCCTAGTGCTCATTAAAATTGAGTTAACATGCTAGTATTAGCTTAGCAGCAAGACTGTAAAAGCATTGAAATGACTTGATGATTAATTGAAAGTTAGTCAACACCAAATTGAAAAAAAGTTGGAAAAATTACCTAANCTACTCTCTACACAGCCTAACGCCTTCTTTTCTTTCACTCTTCGAATTTGGTCGCTTTGTTTGTTTCACAACTCTTAATCTCCACCTCGTTAGTTAGTTAACAGGTGGTCCGTTTGCCCCTTCCTGTAAGGCTCTCAGCTAATAAAACTGCTGCAAACTCACAGAGCTAGTCTGGACAGAGGAAATGTAGGCCGCCTCTCAGGGAGACGTTTCGTAACAGTCCGGTTTTATAGAAGCTTTCCTGGGGAGACTAGCTCCTATTTACTCAGCCTTCAGGCGCCTTTTTGGTGATAAAGGGAGCTGCTAAATTAGACCCTAGATTTAATTACTTGCCTCTTTTCTCTATGTGTAGCTGGCAGCTAATGTGGTTCACGCTAATTATGATGCTACACAAGATTTCCTTGTGTACTTAAACAGCTAAAATTCAAAGTTGATACTGTTTCTTTTAAAGTCTAGTGACAGCTAGCTTACTTTTGTAGCTGTTAGTTTTATGTTTTGTCAATCATAGCTGCTAAATGTTTGATAAAATGTAATGAGTAAGTCAAATTCATTTGTTGTTAGCTGTATTAATGCAAGTTGGAACTTTACTCCTGTACTGGAACTACTCTCATCAACAACCGCAAGTCAAAAAACAAGCAACTTCGCTAGTTGTTGTGCTAAGTGACGTGGCAAACTAGTTGTAGTGATAAATCGACATCAAAGGTTTTTTCTTTTGTTGTTTTTTTTATTTATTTTTCAGCATTCAAAGACTAAAGGTACATTTTCACAAACAGCTTGTCTTGAACTATGTGTGGCAATGAGATACAATCAAATATTTCTGCAACCTTTGCTACGTTTTACAAACATGGCGATCATATTGGATTTGACATTGGGGTCGCTCTGTGACCTCCAACTTTCCGACATGCTTTGACAACTTGTACAAAAAAAAGGAAGCCATAACAATAGTTTGACTTAAAGTGAAATATTTGACCATTGTGTTTCTCCTTGCATATTTCCAGCTTGTTCTTTACACTGTGGATGTTTTGAGCCTCAGTTGCTCTTGGCCAGCCACGCTGTAATTTTCCTGTTTAAACGCTTTGCCATATGGAGCTCAGTCTGTTCGATGGCTTAAAGTGAACTATTTTTGTGGTTCCCAGTGCTGCTTTGGTAAGACACATCTTACAATAGTATGAGGTAGCTGTGGAGTATATGGAAGTTATCGCCTACGTAGAGATACAGAGAAAACTTTATGATGTTTCTCACATTCATTTGTGCTCTCCCGTTCTGCAGGTCTGGCAGTGTGATTGGCCACTGGAATGAAATCTTTGAATTCGTGAAGAACTTGGCAGAGAAGTTTAAAAGGTAAGAGATTCTTCACAAGCATGTCCGCGATCGCATAGTCTTGTTAAAGTAAGCCGGCAGAGAAGCATTAAACAGGGTTTAATTGGTGGGTAGCCAATGTGTAAAACTTCATTGTTGGTGTCCTGACAGCTACTGACTTCCTGGTTAAAGAATCTATTGTTACAGGAAAACACACCTTACTAACTTGGTAAACAAAACGTTATACCTCCCACACCAGCAAATAAATACAGACCAATTCAAACCAACGCCTCTTGTTGGTTTGGTTGCTTTCAGACACTGGAGGTTTTGGGGCCTTAAATACAATAAGCAGTATTGGGTTTATATCCTAACATTTGTCTAAAGATTCTGTTCAACGAATTCAACTTGTTTTTGTTCAATAAATCATTTAATAAATTTAAATTCACACATTAAAAACAAGCCGTACAGATTTTGGGCCGTCTTTTTTCCTTTCTTTTTTTTTTCCTGCTTTGTTTTTGCCAAATACTACCTCCTCGTTTCTCCTTGGCCGAAGGATCCATTTAGAGCAGAGATCTGTTCTTCCCCCAAAGTTTCATCTTTAAATAAACACGACGGAGAAGCACGAACAACAACAATCCTTTAGCTTGCCGTCTGTCATAAACAATACCGCGTCCACCTCGCAGGCTTGGAACCTATCAGCAAAACTTTCCCCAAACAGACTTCATCTACAAATAAACACAAATTCACATGTTGAGATGCTGTGACATAGTTTTCATATCAAAACTAGGTCACTGCCTGTCACTGGGGGTTTGGTTCCTGCCCTCTGGTACAACTCTGTCCATGTTATCATTGTATTCCTGTATATTCAGAGTGACTTGCACAATTATGCTCCTTAAAATTTTTCATGTTTTGTCCCATTCCAACCGCAAATGTCAGACCACACCTCATTTGTAAATAGAGCTTTTAATTTCAGTATAAATCCAGCAGTTCTTCAAAAACAGGTCTGTTTGAGGAAAGCAGCAAGAAAACACATGAATCTTTCTGTCGGTGACATCATACTCAGATTGTTGGCACGGTTTGTTCCACAGCTAACTGCTCTGTGTGTTTATATATTCTAACGTTTTGTTTTTTTTCTCTTCCCTTCCCCGTTCCAGTCCCATGCTGAGGATGTCCTTCATAACATTCAGCTCCAGAGCGTCCACCATCATGAAGCTAACAGAAAACAGGTGATTTCACTTGGCTCTAATTTCACTGGTAATATTTTAATAGAAATTCATTTACTGGGATTAACTGTAACTGTTATATAAAAGCAATTAAAAGCAGACTGTGTCCATCGCTGAGGACGTTGTTTCCTTTTTCACATGCTGGCACAATGTGAGGTTGTAATTAAAGATCTCTGAGATGTCAAACTACTAGAGGAGGAGCAGAAATCCCCCCTTTAAAAAAACAAACAAAAAAAACATGAATTTACCTCTCCCTCTGACGGATAAACTAGGTCATTTATATTTTCTACACTGTTCTTTTTCCCCTACTACTTCCTCTATTTTAAAGGTCAGCTCTACAACTTGAACTCATCAGAAAATCCCCTCTTTTAAGCTGGGAAACGCAAATGACAGATTGATGGCAGATTTCACTCCCAAGCTCCGTCATTGTCCCCAGTTTGTGTGGACAGTTTGTGCCGATCCCTCGACCCTTACAGTGTTTGCGGTGAACTCGTCCAGGTTGTTAAAACATCGAACCGCACAAAGAGGCTGAAGTAATATTATAGCTAGCCAGTGGTTAAACTTGCCAGTTAAAAATCATGCTGTATTTCCTCTACGGTAAAACTCCACGATCGGCTCCAAAATCACATCTGGTTCGTTTTTATGTGAGCCTTTAAAGTTCTATTTTATTTTTTTTTATGGAAAACATTTTTTTCTACAAAGTTTGCTGCTAGTGAAGGTTAAAGCACTAAAGCTTTTACATGTTATAACATGTGGCACAGTGTGTAAAGTTACACACTCAAAATTTAAAGGATTTTTTTGTCTATCTTGCTAGGTGGTTGCTTTAACATTTAGCTAAATGTCTCAATAGGTGTAGTTAAATATTTAAGTAAACGTCTAAATTGTTAGACGAAGTTGTAACCATATATGTTGCAAACAAGTGACGGTGAAAACTACCTCGAAAACATCAGAAAATATTGCTGTAAAAATTTTTTACAAAAACCTAATTTTCCAATTCTCTACCACATTTTACCAACTGATTGCAATTGACTGGACATACAGATTATATATGCCAACTATGTTTTCTTAAAAAAGTCATTTACGAATCAGCCTTTGCTTACAAAGTTTCCACTATGACAAAAAATTAACATCAGTGCCATGTATATGCAGTAAATTAAGATTTCAATTAATATCACATGGTCTACATTATTATTGCTACTGTGTAATACTTGTGGATGCTGCAATCTCTATCCAGCTCTCCTGATAGCAACAGATATTTCATTTCAAGCAGAGTTTCTGCCTAGTGCTCATTAAAATTGAGTTAACATGCTAGTATTAGCTTAGCAGCAAGACTGTAAAAGCATTGAAATGACTTGATGATTAATTGAAAGTTAGTCAACACCAAATTGAAAAAAAGTTGGAAAAATTACCTAAAATTTCCAGACTGTAATAATATAATATTTTATCATTATTATTAAACCTTAATATTGATTGATTGTGTCAGTATAAAGGTATAATAAATCTATTCTGTTTTCAGATTTAAAAAATGGTGTCCAAAATACAATTCTACTAGGCATCTGCTTGACAACGCTTCTTGTTTAAAAAATACTGGCTATGCAAAGCGGGGCCACAGGAATACCTGATAAATACACTTAGATCATTTAACAAACCAATCATTTCCAAAATGAAATTTAAATGATTCCTAGTTGCAAAAGCAAGAAACTGCAGACAAAACAACAGACAGAATATTTAACTATTTCACAGGAAAAGTACATGATTAACTTTGCGATTTGACCCCAGCTGTTTTTCTGCTCTACAGAGTGACTATCCAAAAGGGCCTGAATGCTCTGAGGAAAGAGAAACCTGGTGGGGATACTCTGATGGACCTGGGGCTGCAGAGTGTAAGCAGGCATTGTAACACACACATTAAAACACACAATAAGTAATTCAGGACAAATTAAAAGCTTTTTAGGACTGCCTGCTAAAATCTCCTCTAACAAAGAACATGTCTGTCTGCTTAAAGGCAAACGACCAGATACGCAAGGAAAACTTTGGTGAGTAGCTGACGTCTTCAGTGTCGTCATACATTTCTGCAGTTTACTTTGAATCTTAAAGTTATGGCTCTTTGCTCATATCTTTCAGGGACAGCCAGTGTGATCATCGCTCTGACAGATGGTGACCTGCAAGAGCAGCAGCTCTTCGATGCACAACAGCAGGTAAGAAATCCGTACTCTGTCTAATATCCAACTATCTTCAATCAGGAACTACCACAAAGAGCTAACCTGGAGAGACGAGTTCTGTCCTCATATGACTTTTTGTCTGTACTCTTCCGACAGGCAGAGGAAGCCAGACGTCTGGGAGCGATCGTGTACTGTGTTGGTGTCAAAGACTTTAATGAAACACAGGTAAGGAAGTTGTAAGATGAGGCTCTCCTCTAAAGTGACTCTAATATAAAAAGAAAATTAGAATAGCAAGCAGTTGTGAAGGGGTCCAAGCCTCTGTTAGCAGTCCAAACCCAGGCACATTTCCCACAAACATGGTCTCAACCAGGTGGACTTAATACATCATTGGCCAAAACGAACCCATACTAGCCACTGAAGTGGCATAGGAACGGTTCAGTCAGCTTTATAGACTCAGCACTTCATAAATTGAAAAAGTAAAGTTCAATACAGATGAAGGTAGATTAAAATAAATTACTTGAGAAAGGTGTTTTTGGACTTGAGAGTTTTTCTGTTTTCCTGAGTTTTTCCTAACGGTGTCTTTGGATGCTTGAAAAAGCCTTTTATGGTGGGGTGCTTTTACTGCCTTCTACTTCTCAGCCAGCACTGAGCTAAGAAGTACTTTCAACTAATAATTCTTTCCACTGAGAACGGTAGCTACAATAATTAATTGACCATAGATTTGCAGCAGTTGCTTAAATGAAAAAGAAAAGGAAAATTTCCCAAATCTAATCAGATGTTCTAAGTTTAGCACAAGTTATATTTTTTGTGCCTCTAAATTGAAAAAAAAACTTCATAACCACCAAGCATTATTATGTAATACAGTATTGTTTCCAAATAAAAGCACAAGTTCCAACAATAGGTGCAAATTTATTTCAATAGTTGAAAGAGACCCAGACAGTAATGGACTTTAGACCATAAATTTAGTTTTGATACAATAATTTATGGTTTTGAGGATATAGGTACAATTGTTGCTATAGCTCCTTCTACTGACAAACAATAGTAAATCAGTGAGAAGATTTGTAGATACTGTATTGATGTTCGATTAACAAACCAGTGTAGGCTTGTTATAAATATTGATTTTCTGAGTGAGTATCTGTTTTTGAAGGTTTTTTTAAAATAAATATTTTCTTAAAAAGTCATTTTCTTCATTTGTTCATCACTTTCCTCTTTGCATGTTCTTTTTTGTCTTTCTCTCTCACCAACTCTAGCTGGCCACCATTGCGGACACCATAGAACATGTGTTTCCTGTGCTAGGAGGGTTCCTTGCCCTTAGGGGTGTCATCGACTCGGTAACCTAACTCCTCTCTACTGTAAAAGTCTACTGTACATCCAACTGTGACACTGAGAATTCAGACATCTAGGGGGTGGGAGGTAAAAGAACAGTCAGTGGAGAAGATGAACACCTTAGGGTGTTCCTTGGTCACCCTAAGGAACAGAGGAACAGTCTCTGGTGGCTGCAAACCCTCCTGGAACAGGGGTTCAGGAGGGAGCAGGGGTACCTGGGGCACCCTAGGGGTTCAAGAAGAGTCAAAGATGGAGGCAAACCCTCCTGGTGCCCCTCTACACATACAAGAACACTCACTAGTGGAGGCGATGCCATCTGGGTCACCCTAAGGAGTAGAGGAACAGTGTCTGGGGGCGGTGAATCTTTTGGGATCCCTCAGGAAACACTGGAGCCTAATGTAGGTTGGCAAAATCTTAAGGAGGTGATTTAGCTTTGACCGCCACCCCCCACCCAGGGCTTTGGATACTCGAGACATGACAAATTTTGCTTTAGTGCCAAAACAGTTTTCAAGAGCTCTATAAAAGCCATTAAATTTTGCAAGCACATTACAATTATTATGTGTGTTCCTAAATCACTGCTGCCTTTACTTTTTCAGATTATCAAGAAATCCTGTATTGAAATATTGGCAGCAGAGCCGTCGAGTGTGTGTGCTGGAGGTGGGTAATTGGAAAAACACACTCTCAGAAAGGCATACACACAATAAATGGGTCTCTCTTGAGTTTATGAGAGCAATGCCATCATTGAATTCACCCATGAACTACGGTCATTTCAATAGGAAGCATTTTGGTTTGGCTTCCTTCTTTTATGACTATCCCAGACTGAAAAATGACCACATGCAGCCTGAAGGGTCACTTACCGGAAATCTGCTTCGATGGGGGACTACAGCAGGAGTAACATCACTGGGTCACATTAAATGTAATGACCGTGAGAACAGCGCTGCAGTTACAGGAATCTTTCACTGGAGATGAAATGTACAGTAGACATCCTTCAGTGTAATACCAACAGAGAGAGAGCGTAAAACCATTATTGAAAAATAAGTCGGATAATAAATAGCTCAAATGAACAGATGAAAACTGGGGTTAATGATATCTGTAAGGGTAAAAGCAGAGGAGCAGTGTGTTTTTTGCATCTGCTTCTGTTTTGTATTCCATGAAACAGGGAATTACCAAACCATTTAATAATTAGCCAAGGGAAATTTATTTTGTTTCCTTTCCCATGATGTTAGTTTCCTTTAACATTGTAATACTGGATCACATGTGATTTGTGCTTCTTCTCTAAGAAAACATGCTTTTTTTTCCTTGCCTCATTTATTTTGTTACTGTTTTTGTCGTTCCTCCTCCAATATGGTCATTAAAATATAAGAATATGCAAAGTTTCCCCCAGAAAACTTGCTAAGCCCGGAGGTTGGGCACTAGGGCAGTCATTCATCCAGTGGCCCGTCATGTTTTTGAGTTAAAAAATGTTTAAAGTTGACAGGAAATTTGAAAATATCACTTGATAATTATGTTATTGAAAAACTGGAAGATTAATACCTGAACACCAACTATAAAACCTTAAAAAATATAAACATTTTAAAAAGACTTGAATAAATATGCAGTGGTTAGCCTGGTAGGGGCACAAGTAAAGCCTGGTGGCCTAACAGGCTTATAATACACTAGGGGAAACCCTGAGTATGCCTACATATTAGGGTAGTCACGATAGAAAAATTTTCAACATGACACTCGATGCAACTTGTTATATCGCATCAATCTTTTTACAAAGGGTTTTCTCTGACAAAGATGAAAGAAATATAACCAGTTAAGTATGACGACATTTTCAGTACTGTTATCTGGAAAAGCTAAAGTGGTTTTTAAAGAGTGAGGAATGTTGTATTCACACAGCTCATCCCCAGTTAAATAACATTGCAGACGTTTCTTTACTACAGTAGTTCTTACTTGAGAAAATGTTGCTCTTAAAATGTAAACAATGCTTTTTACAGTGTAAAACAAGGATTTGTTCCATGCTAATGTGTTCCACAGCAGCCCTGTTCAGATTGTGTGTTTCTGGTAACTTTGCATCATTTTGGTGGCCTACTACTGACAGCAGGGAAGGCTGCAGATGGTTCAGATTAGTTGCTACAATTGGATGGGTAGACCGTTTGTTAATTTTTAGTCATTTTACTATCAGCCACATTAGCCTCTAGTTCCTTTACTACTGGATAAGAAGCAGGTATGTGGTTCATTAAGATTCTTTGCTATTTTCTATCCATACTTAGCCATCTAGAAGCTGCTGTTTAAATAAATAAATGTTTTTTTACACCTTTAAAGTTGTAGATAGAGGAGTTTTACTTGCCTGTTTGAACCCCTCTCAAACATTAAAGCGTACCCATCGTCTTGTCCTGGTTGCCAGCAATGCGTTTGCTTTTGCCTCTTTCACTACAGAGGGCTCTCCTTGAAAAATGCTTGCCATGTTATTGGAGCTGATTCCCTGTGTTTTGTTTATTTGTGTCTACCTTAGTGAGTCATATTTTGTGAAATCTTTCATATTATAAAAATGACAAACGTGATGTTTGTGCAACCAGAGACATTTCAAGCCGTGGTGAGGGGAAACGGATTCCTCCACGCAAGAAACATCGACCAGGTGCTCTGCAGCTTCAAAATCAACGATACCATCACAGTCAGTGAGTAGACCCGCTCTGGGCCTGTTGGCTTTTTTTTTTTATAAATAGAACAGTCAGTAACAAAGTTCAGCTGGTTTTCTACAATACATCTGTTCATTTCTATATCACTGAGTAGCAAAAGGTATAATACTGAAAATAAAATAGCTACATTGATCTACATTTACAAGATAACATTCTCATCTTTCAAAAAGATTCACATGAACACAGCGATGGTGTTCATGTCTTCTGAGATATTTAACTTTTGGTTAAATTATAACCACAGAATTGAGTGGATTTTATTAGGATTTTATGTGTTAGACCGACATGTATTTGTATTCAGCCCCTTTTACTCTCATACCCCTAAATAAAGTGTAAGCAGTTGCCTTCAGAAGTCACCTACTTAGTAAATAGAGCATACTACAAGTGCAAACCTATCAAGACACAGCAACAGATATGACCAGTAACTCTGGAAGGGCTGCAGAGAGACACGCTGCTCAGGTGGAAGACACACTGCACATCACCTTCAACACCTACTAACTCCTACTGTAAAACATGGTGGTGGCAGCTTCATGCTCCTTTACAGCCCATTTGTGGTTGTAATGTGATTATGGTTAGTGTGGGTTAGTTAGTGTGTTCAATGAGTGTGAATACCTTTGCAGGAAACTAATTTCTCCTTGTGTTTCTGCCCTTTAGATGAAAAGCCTGCTGGTGTAGAAAACACATTCTTACTGTGTCCAGCTCCTGTCATCGATGAGGTTGGAAAGTAGGTGTCTCTCTTTTTATAGCTTCATGAACTCTTACGGTTTGCTAATGCAAAGGGGCTGTTTCTTAGACAGATTGCATTATGCACACTGCCCTCCTTGTATAAAGCCAGGGGAACATGTGCATCAGAAATCTGCCATACATTAGCTGTTTTTATGATCTCTATCTGAAGTCATACTCCTATTCTCTAGTTCCTAGAATAGTTCTAGGAAAATATAAAAGGCGGTGCAGCTGTGCCAGCTCACACCAGGGACGAAGCCTTTGTGCGTTTGTCCTGAGCAGTAAAAAAACGAGAGCAGATTCCTCTTTGTGAGGCACCGGCGGATCTGGACGACAAAACTTGCAAATCTCACGAAATGTCTCGGCTGACGTCTTGCCAGTTCTTTTGGGCAGGAAAGGTCGCTGTAGTCGCTGACTTTTCCAGCCAGCCAAGAAAAGAACTCTTAAACACTCTGCATGGTATTTGTATAGAGCCAAGTCTGTGAGGCCATTTACCAGCTAAAGAGCAAATCATTTCCTCGAGGAACTAGAAAGTGAAAGGGAGGCGCCATATTGAAACGGGGGATGTTTTTTTCCAAGAGCTTTTGGCTTCTAGCAACAAACCAGCTTTAACTACTTGGACACGGCTGTTGTTTGAGAATATTACATTAGGACTCTTCAGAAAAAAATCATGTTGGACCTGATACCAAACTGCAATCACAAACTCAGAGTATTTTATTGAGTATTTCTGTGAAAGCCACTGAAAGTGTGGCATGCATTTGTTTTCAAAAAGAATAAAATCCTCTCCCAACTACCTGCCAGCTGAGTCCAACTGTGTGTGATTACAATCAGTATAAATCCAGCTGCTTGTTAGAGAATATCAGTGGACAAATAGCATCTGAAGACATTGTTTATTGTTCTCTGAATATTATGTTGGTGGAATATGCCCTGCAAATTTTTAGATGTATTTATTTATTCTTTTATAAATGTGAAATTTGAACAGTTGAACACTTTGTGGAACATATTTTGTTGTGATTGTAACATGTTTAGAGTCATAAAAATAATAAAAAGAAAGGAGGAACCATCCTGTAGACATCCACCAAATCAGAAGCCAACTTCATCTCTATATTATACAGAATGTTTATGCTTGGTGTCATACTGGATTACAGTAAACTCTGACAAAAGAACAAATGTAAAATCATCTATTTTATGACGCTTACAGATGTTGTGTGCCGACCATTTTTCTTGATAAAGTTTCCATTAACACTAGTCCTGGATGACCAGGTATGCTAGTTACAAAGGTTAACCCCAGCAACTCCTATGCTAACGTTAGTCTATCCATGCTAGAGACCGGGAGAGGAACAAGGCAGTCAAGAAGCTGACCAGCCTTGGCATGCTAGTCACTAGCATCTTCAAAGCTAAAGTAAATGAGTAGTCTCCTTCTCATTTCCAGCACCAGCTGCTCAGCTACCGGTGTCGACCTTATCATTAATCAGGTCAGTAGCTAGCTCTGGAATGGAAATAATTATGACAAGGAAGCAGTCACTGCTGGGTCCACTGTAGTCTTAATTTTGGCACTGAAACTGCACCGTAACCCTGGAAGAAAACCCAGAGCTGAAAAAGAACAGGGAGTAGGTTTGGCTTTTATTGTACCGTGAGCTAAGACACACAGTAAATGGTTTCGTTCAAAGCATAGTCGTGTTTTTCAGTGGCCTAATCAAAGACCAGACCTAAATCCAATCAAGAATCTGTGGCAAGACTTGAACATTGTTGTTCATAGAAGTGACAAAGCTGAAGGAAGCCTAAAACACTGGCAATTGGATCATTTTCCTTCCACTTCTTTTGGTTCCTCCATCACATAAAATCCTAATAAAACACGCTGAACTTTTCAGGTTTTAACGAAAACGTTCAACAGGAAGGAATTTGTTTGCACAGTGCAAACTACGCAGCGACCAGATTTGCTCCTACATCACATTTCTGTGCTCTTATTTAGACCCCAACCGTGTTCCAACATCAACTATCCGCAAACCTCTCTGACCCAAGTCTTTATGGGAAGAAAAGAGCTCAGGGCCACAGAATACGAGTCTGAGTGGACGGCGTTAAAGACTTTATAAACACAGAGGGAAACCAGGGGGGAGGAGAGATGGACAGTTTCTCTCCCTCCACATACCTTAAACCTAAATCATTCCTTTTTGCTACAAATTCCGTACATTTATTCTCCCACAGCAGTCGGGGGGGAAAAAAAAAAACAGATCTTCATGCTAGCCCTCGGAAATCAGACAGCGAAGGGATTGAAGATTCTGAGCTAATCCGTTGCCCATTTCACCACCTGTGTGGAGGATTTTGCATTCTCTCATCTTTCTGCCCGTCTGTCCTTTTTCTTATTGACTGTCTTCTTTTATGGTCTTAGCTACAGATTAACTTCTTTTTTTTTTAAATCCTCCGCCGTCCATAAGGCTTTTTATTTTCATTCAGCTGTCTCTTTGTCTGGGTTTGCCTGATCAAAGCTGTGTAGCAGCTAGCCAGGTCTTTCATGTGTGGGACCACATGTTGGTAGCATGCAAGGTTCTCAGCAGGGGAGCTGGGGGAAAACAGGATTGGCTCTTTACATTTATAGAAACCAAACAAGAGGCGACCTTAAGCCAGAATTAGGCGAGTGTTTCACTTGATGTCTAACATGTGTTTATCTATATAAATGCTTAATAATTTTAAAAATGTATGACTAACCAATGAATTAATGTGAAAAAACTTTGTATCACAGGAGGACATGTTGGTATTGCTGTAAGTGCACGGTCATAAAATTACAGCTTATACATATTTTACTGTCTGCATTTATTGGCACCAATAGTAAAGTAACTCACATTGAGAAATTTTGAAAAATCTAATTTTTCATTTGAGTGCTGCTATTCAGAGGGAAACAATTTCATATAAAAAGTTAAATTCATTAAATGTGGAAGGTCAATAAAACGTGATTTTCCTAAAATTTCTTACAAATAAATAAAGAATCCTTATTTGATTAGATTATTTAAAGTTTAATAAATAATCCTTGACTTTCTGTTTCCCTGTGGTAGAAATATTAGAGGATATAGAGTTATATTTCCTTTGGCCACAGGTCACCAGCACACAGTGAGGATGGAAAGGAAAGTTAGAAAAAATAAAAGTACAAATCTCACTGTTCTAGAAAAGTGGTGTCTTGTTATGGAAACGTAAACACGTTTCCATAACAACCATTAGACGTGCTCTACATGCTAACCAATTCCATGGGAGTGTTGCCAAACTCTTAACTTCACATTGCAAAAAAAAAGTTTGTTTTTGTCCACATGTGAAACCATGTCAAATTATTTGTGACCATTTGAACAGCACAAATCAGATTTTGTTTTCATCATATCCAGACCTTTGGTCCTAAATTGAATACATATCTAATGTTTTTCAAAGCAACCGCAATCTGAACAGCCATGTTGCATTTTTTCCGACTTCCATGTAATAAAGTGTGACAGACTGGAGAGATCAGAAGTTAAAAACAGATGAGAAAGAATCCAACTGCACGACAACTACATAATTAATGCACACACGCTGACATCTGTAGCATCTATGTTTACTGCTGCGTGTGATGTCACATGTTGTTCTGCGTATCTGGGTCATTTCAGGGACTCTTTGTCGTTACATCTAATAGAAGTGGCATTTAAGTTCGAATAATAACCATAAAAAAAATATTCAAAAATCAGCATAAAGTCTAGCAGAGTTTTTTCTGGAACAAATGCATCAAAGAATGAAAATATGGGAGGCTGGCAGATCAATCCACAAATATCGATAATATCGATACCTAGTCAATATCAGTATCGGATCGGATAAATGCTAGCAAGATTTCCTCGTCAAATTTTATTTTATTTTTGTTTTGCAGTTTGTCAACTCTGCCTCAAAAAAGATTTTGTTTTGATTTGCTCTCAGATGATTGTTTTTGCTCTTTGTTTATTTAGAAACAATGCACATAAACCATGTCACTATGGTGTTAAAAGTACTTTGTAGACACTTAATTTTTTTCCAAATTCTGTCCTAGGTTTTAACAAAAAAAGAATTAAAAGGAAAAACTACAAAAACACATAAGTCAGAAGTCTGATGACATATCAAATGTAAATAAAAATAATCGGTATCAGTATTGGTGATAAGGGCAAGGTGGGAAAAAAGTGGTTATACACCAGTGATATAGTTAACAACTGCTGTTAATATGATTTTTTTTTTGTTCCATACTAAATAAATGTACTCAAATAAAATGTTCAACTTCCAGTGTGACACTGTGCTGCTGGGACAAAAGATGAAGTCATTACAAGGTTTTTCACACCTTGTTGCTATGAACTGCCAGGCCTTGGTTGGGTGGGTGGTATGGGGTCAGGGGGGATTTAGGTGTGAAGTTGGGGTTGGGGTTAAGGTTCTGGGTTTAGCTGTTCACAATAATTAGAGGTAAATGAAGCAGCAGTGCTGCATCAGCTGCAGTTCAGACAGCTGTCTGCTTCACTTCCTTGTGAAACAGCTGTCTGTGACCATGCTCTACATTTCCTCCCCAGCACTTTGTTGTTTTTTTCCCTCCACATCCTTTAATTCTGGCTTCAAGGTCTTCTCAGGCTGCTCTATCATTCTCTTGGAATTTTTCATTTGAACAATTTTGGATTTTTGTTTTCTTCTTTTTTTTTGAATGATCATTTGACATCGTCTGTATGGACTCTGACAAATATGCGAGACAGATCGAAGGTTTTGCTTCTTTCTGTTCACCTGACCCCCTGTCATCCCCGTTTTCAGGAGTGATACCACAAAAAGCCCTAGAGATGAGGCAGTTCTCCGAATTGTTCTCCAGTGTTAGAGGTGGAGGGTGGGATGATCCAGGAAGATATGTTGGATATACAGATGAGGTCAGAAGTGGGGCATGGACAGAAGCTTGTTTTGATATGGGAGTCTGTTGGAAAGAAAAACCAGAAGGATAATTGAAAGTTGAGTTTGGGTGATGTAATTCCCAGAGAAACAAAAAGCAACCTCAATTGGCGGGTTTTTCCATTGTAGTTTATTAAAACTACAATGTCTCTGTGTTTACTGTGCTGGCTCCCCCAGTTACAACCACCTCGAAGGGGTTTTTTCTCCTTTCTTGCTTAAACAAAGTGGAAAAATTCTGTATCTGGTTCGTTCGGTTAAAGCCAGCTCAATTACGAGTGAAATGGAGCCTGTAAGTACAAGTCAGGCTCCTCATTTGTTGGACAACTTTTAACAATATGCCCTCAAGGGAGATTAGAGATTTCAGCAGCTACAGTGAGACGAAAACAACACATTCTGGAGACTGAAAAGAAAATTCTGGAGTGAGCAGGATTAGTCATTGTAATTTACTGTCGGGTTAAATGTCTGTCTCCTCCGGCTCTTTATCCCTTGAGTTTTGTGGTTGGAACCTTTTGGTTACAGTTACAATCTCCCCTCATAGCTAGCACAGTGTTTGGTGACGTGATTCTGCTGTGAAGCCAACTTTGAATGACATCATTCTGGTGAAAGAGACTGAATGAGTTACGCTTTTTGTGGACGATATTGTGATATTTACACATTATTGATGCTCTTGCTCATTTCTGTGTGTATTTCAGGGTGATTTATCTCCAAGTGAGCATGAACGACGGTCTGTCCTTCATCGGCAGCAACGTCCACATCACCACCACAGAGTGTGTAAGTAATTATTTTACTTTTTTTTTTAATGCAATCGTAAATTTATGGGCACATTTTTTTTAGCATGTCTTCCAGATATATATGTGTTTTTTTTTTTTTTTTTGTTTTTTTTACTTTTTGCCACTTTACAAACACAAAATTTGTGTTTATTGGGATTTTTTTGTGATAGACCAAGACAAAGTAGCAATTGTGAAGTTGAAAGAAAACCTGAAAAATGTGGCAGGCATTAATGTTTTGCCCTCTTGAGTCAGTACATTTTACTTCTATGTTAAGGTTAATTTATTTAGACTTAACTTGTAAATAATGGCAACATTTTTGCAGAATATCACTAAAAGCAGCCCAAGTCCAAACAGAACTGGTACCAACATGTTCCTAACAACAATTGTCCAGCTGGAAGGGGAACGTTTACCCCTGTCTAAAGTCTCCAGTGATAGGTTTCAGGCCTTTGTACATGTGGGCCAAAACTTTCACTGTCCTCTGTCTAGAGCATCGTCTTCCACTTGTTTGCTGTCTGGAGTTTTAATGGCCTCTTCTTGCATCTCTTTCTTAAATATTCTCCAAGAAACATCTGGAGAACAGCTATATTTATTCACAGACACAACTGGATCATATATACTGACTGGATTCTATTTGGGGGCTTTAGTGTTTCTATGAAAGATTAAAAAAACAAAACATGTAAGTCATGCTACATAAAATTATGGTAAACTACACGGCAGTTTGGGGGGGTGATGTGTAAAAATGTTCAGTACGGATACTTTTGCAAGGCAGGACATGATGCCCTTCCCTTCCTTTCCTAGAAATCTGGTGTTTTGGTCTGTGGGATGAACCATTTGTCTTCTTTGTCTTCTTCATCCTCCCTTTTTGGTGTTATTACTAGCAATGATGCATCCAAAAAGACCCACTGGACTCTCCAGCAAAGGAAAGGAAAAAAACTTAGAGAAGCAAGTTCAAGACCACGATATGTGTTTTCTTTGAAAAGTAAAAGGGAAAGGTCCCATAACGACACTGACTGATGAATCCTCTACTTCTGTTTAAATGTTTATTACTCAGCTAGTGGGAAAATGGTTGACATTCCATTTAAAGTAATTTAAAGTAAATTTACCTAAACAAAAACATATGGTGGGACATATGGAAACAGAAGATTCCATCTAACCAACAAGTAATATTCCCTTTAAAGGCCCCCTGCCCCAATCCACAAAGCTGGGACAAGAAACCATGAGAGCAAACTATGTGGTTTATGATGTATACATCCCAACTTAGCATGCTATTACAATTAGAGAGAAGGGAAAGGTTAAAATATGCTTAAGACCCATAAGATATCAAATAAAAATGTACAGCGGATAGCTAAAATCCTTGAATACTTCACACCCCCTCTAAAAACACTTATAACTGTTTACTATAAACAGTCAAACACCATTAGCGCCAAAATTAAAACTATAGCACACCCAGTGGTGGCTACTTCCTTGTCTCAGGAGGCTATATGTATTCCAAAGTTAGCTACTATCTCATTAATGACAGGCTGCGTTAGCTTTGGAGAAGTTCATGACTAGCATGTCTAGGCTGGACACCCACTGGATTGCCTAAGCTTCCTCTACTGTCCATTAGCTCTGGATAGGTTGGTATTAGCGTTGATAGAGTGGGGTTAGCGTTGATAGGCTAACCCCACTCTGTCCAATACTAACAACTAGGCATGCTAGTTGTTAGTATTGGACAGGCTAACAACTAGCATCTCTAGGTCATAGAAATGCTTTGGCAGTAAAACCGAAGCTACTATCTACAGCATCTCTGCTCTTGTGAGTACACAGACAGGGAAAATAAATGGGACTCCTGGATTGGCCACTTCGACAGACAGTTGCTTGCGACTAGACATTTCAGCTTCCAACGCTGCCTTTTCTTTCAAATATTTTAAATATGTTCTATGAAAAAATGTGCAAATAGGCAAATTTTCCATGAGTAATTCAGAGTTATGAAGACATCCATGATTGCTGAACCGCGAGTGTTTTTTGTTTTCTGTTTTTTTTTTTTTTTTGTCTAAGTCATCTTTTGGCAAAAATGAGGAGTTTTTTTTTTTTTGTCATTCACTTTTTGGAAAAAATTATATAGGCCATTATTTTAAGAAGGTGACAAAATGCTCTATGAAAAAATTTGCAAATAGGCAAATTTTCCATGAGTAATTCAGAGTTATGAAGACATCCATGATTGCTGAACCACGAGTAGATGGGAATCCACTGAAATTTCATCGTTTCATTATTTTGCAACCAGCCTAATATGTGTAATACCATACTGCATGACAAAAATATGCACACATCCAGATATGGTCCCATTTACTGTCACCTAATAAATTAGACTATCAAGTTTTCTAACCAGACAATTTAGTCATTGTAGGAACTCACTGCTTGTTGATAGAGGGGAGGGGATTAGGTTCTGAGAAATATTTATTTGGTTCCTGTGATGAGCTGTCTTCAGTCGGCCCCACTGCAGAGTTCAGATAAATCCTCAACATCGCCCCCTCCTATGATAGATAGGGGAAAGTCTAACCACATGTGATCCTCATCTGCGGTCTGCAATGAAAACCATGTTTAGCTGGAGGCTAGAGAGAAAAAGAGAGAAATGTTAACAGATGGATATATTAGGAGACTTAAATGATTAAGATCGACCACAGTTAGCGAGACAAAGAACACAATCGCTACGGTGACGAGGCTGAAAGTGCTCTCCTCTGTTCCTCCTCATGTCAGAGCTTTGGGACTTTAAATCCACTGATTGCTGATCTTGGTAGCATCATTGTTAGTTGTTTTGGAAGTGAACTACGTTCTGGTCTTCATTGGCCAGCTTATTTTCTATCTCTCAACAAAGGTTACAGTCAAGTCATTCTGATTCCCTCAACCTTCCTTCACCTGTTTAATTCAATTTGTACTTAGGTTTTTAATTGCTTCCTAACCTGTTTACTAACCTACGGGCTTCCTCTTAACTTATATATTTACTGATTTACCTTCCCAATCACTTCCTTTATCTCTCCATTGACTTTGTTTTTCTTATCTTCATACTTTCAGTCTATTTTTCCCCTTCCTTCCTTGGTACTTCCTACTTTAGTTTGTTAATTTTCTTCTTTCCTTAGCTCCATTTTTGATGCATATCTTCATTCTTATGTTTCCTTCCTTCCTTATTTGGACACTCACTGCTTTTCCCCATCCTTCCTGCAAAACTTCATTCATTCATTACTGTCTTTCTTTCTCTCATTATCTACCTTCCTCCTGAAATTTATGTATTTATTTCCATCTTTCCTAATTTGCTTCCCTTTATGACTTCATTTTTTCTGTAGAACTCCTTCATTTCTTGTTAGTGGTTTTATCCATACATCTATCTTTCCTTTTTTAAAATGTTCTTCCTTCCTGCCATCCTTTCATCTTTTTTCACTAACTTCCCAACTTTTTTGGTCCATTGTTTTTTCTTCCGCCCTTCTTTAGTTTGTTCCTTCCTTGTTTTATTCCTTCCTAAGCTGTACTGATTCTTTTTAAATCTGTAAGTAAATGTTTTTTTTTACAGTACTGTACATAAATAGAATAAAGTATCCTCATAGTTAGTATGATTAGATTATAATCCATGTATGTTAAAAATTACATTGCAGATAACTGAGGTCAGAAATCTATGGATTAAAAATAGCAGAAGCAGACTTTATGCAAACACATGATTAATATGTTGGGGTCACTGAAAATTCAACAGGGTCTTGGCAAGGGATCACTGAAGGAGAGATAATTAAAGATGAACTTATAATCCACTGTGTGTGGATTTAAATTCATATCCTGCCGTCCTGCTGTTCCCACGCCACTGCTGCCTTTTTCCTGAACTTTATTGTTTGGGAGGTTGAAAATGTTCAAGTCTGTACGCTCTCCTTGAAAGTGTTTAACACTTTCCTTTCGTGTTCCTGTCCTTCTATCCCTCCTGAATTTCATCCTTCCTTCCCATCTCCCTTCTTTCATTTGCTGCTAACAAATTTCTCCTTAAGCTGTTCACTGGTAGTAAAGCTGTTCCTGTGTGTGTGTGTGTGTGTGTGTGTGTGTGTGTCTTTGTGTGTGTGTTGTCCAGTTTGATGGCACCATCCTGCTGATAACGCTGCTGGTTTTGTTCCTCCTGCTGGCCCTTCTCTTCATGTGGTGGTTCTGGCCTTTGTGCTGCACCGTGGTAAGAAACTCTAATATCTTTTTATTGTATAGACGTGAGGGTGATTGACAACGGTAAGACCCGCCTCCTGGCTCTGATTGATTGTTTCTAGTAAGCATTGGGAAAAGGCAGAGGAGCTTGATTTTTTTTTCTCAGATTATCTGTCTCCTACCATACTTTCACATAGTGACAGTTTCAGCAAATATGTACAAAAATATTTTTTCATAAACATTTCATTCATCAGTTAGTCGGATAGAAGCAGAAATGGTGTGCGTTGTTGTGAAGATCCTTTCTTGTCCGCAGGTGATCAAGGAGCCTCCACCTCCTCCTCCACCAGAGCCTGTGAGTCAAAACAGCTGCACACACACCAACACATTCAGAATTTTAACTAGGAATGTTGCAAAACGAAAGAAGTCTCATTTCTGTGTTTTCAGGAGTCAGATGATGACGATGGCCTGCCAAAGAAGAAGTGGCCTACTGTGGATGCCTCATATTACGGAGGAAGGGGAATCGGTGGAATCAAGAGGATGGAGGTGTTTAGATCACGTTGACGCAGTTCAACCAGTCGCCTCTGATAAAAACCAAAAACAGGTCACTAACCGTTCCTGCGTTGCCTGCTGCCTGCAGGTACGATGGGGCGGTAAAGGCTCCACCGAGGAAGGGGCTAAGCTGGAGAAGCCAAAGAACGCGGTAGTGAAGATGCCGGAGCAGGAATACGAACCTTATGAGCCCAAACCCAAGAAAGCTCACAACAAGAAGCCGCCTCAAAACCGCAAGTGGTACACACCCATCCAGGTACACACTGCCGCAAACTCACACAGGACCACTGAGAACAAGCTAGCTGTGATTCAGTCCAACTGCCACGCAAATTTTGGGCTAACTTTCAAAATGCTACAAGAAAAAAAAGGTGATTTGGTTTGTCGCAAATTAAGCAGGCTATAAAAACTGTAATTACGTCAGCCGTTGACGCTGTAACAGAAAGTAGAGTTTCTAACTAACATGGACCACAGAAAAATGGAGAGAGGTTTTCAAGAATGTGTAGCTATCAGATAAGTTGTATTTTTTCTGTCATGTCAACCAGCATTAGTGATGATGCAAGCTGTACAAAGACATAGAGAAAGATCAAGAAATAAACAGCTGGTCAGTCATGTGAGGTAGACATTTGTTTCGTCAGAACTTGTTTGGTCAAATGTGATTCCATTTCCACTTTAGCACATTGACTCGTTTTCGGGAAGCTAAAACGACCTTTTGTTTTTCAGTTCTTAACCACTGAATGTTGAAAATTTCACATTAATGGAAGCAGACACTCCTTTCTAATAATCTCTGAGCTGACGGTAAAACATAAAAAATACCAGAAGCGGTTTCAGTCTTGTATTTCTCTGCTGACTTTATGAATAAAGCCTTTTAGACAGTATGCAGCACTGTACCTTTTTCATATAAGCATACACAAAAATACACACTGCCCCTTCTCTACACATGCTGATTACAGTGCATGTACTGTAAGGACACCGCCTAGAAAGGCAGATTATTCTTAAAATTTAGACATGCCATGTAGAGTATGGATGAAAAATATTCTTCTTCAACAGCTTAAGAGAAAAAAAATGTGGTTTACCGTTCTGTCAGAAATATATTTTTTTCTTTTTTTTTACACTCGCCAAACACTTGGTGTTGGTAAAATTAGTCTTTTAAACTGGTTGGATCCACGTGAATTTGAACAATCCTATTCTGCAGTCTATGCAACTTTTTATGACCTTCCTCAAAATGTTGCATTTGTGCGTAAATAATATTAATTACAGCAATCTTTGGTTACTGGTTTGGTTCATCACTGTTACAAAACACATTCCTGCACAAGACAACACAAAACAGAGTCACTTCAGTGACTCATGGATGATTTCTTAGTACGTCAGTTTGTCTTAAAACAAATTAAGTGATAGACTCTCCACATAAAGTCAGAAATAACTCCAATGATGTAACCATGAAACCCTCCATTCTCTGCTGCTCAGGGTAAACTGGACGCCATCTGGGCTCTGTTTCGCCGCGGTTATGACCAGGTTTCCCTGATGAGACCCCAACCTGGTGATCATGTAAGTTACTCACAATTAAAAGATGTCGGGATCTTTCTTTTAAGTCCACCATAGATGGAAGGTTATGTAAAATTATTGTTTTCCAAAGCTAATGTAAAACATTTTTTAAATTTATTTCACTATTCAATACTTTCTTGGAATCTAACTTGGAAAAAAATGGTTGAATACCGCTCAGATATGTAAACATTAACTATATTTGACTGCATGTGTGTGTTCATGTTTGTGTATTGAGATTAGACTTGTCAAGGGACACCATAAGCTTATTTAAGCTTATGGTGTCATCAAATGTTTATGTTTGAGCTGTACATTGTCCCAATCTAAATAAAGTTTATTTTCATTAATAATAACCTTACTTGAGATGTAGTTAAATCAGAGACATTCTGGTAGTAGTACACGGAAAGAGACACTGGTTTTGCGACCATGTGGAGGGTTGGTATTTTACATGCTAGTTCTTTAGTAACAATAATCTTTGGAAACAGAAACAAGATAAAATTTTATTTCTGTAGGCATGTAGATGACTTGATTACATCAAACATTTTTACTCTCTACAAGCTTTAGAACCGTTTGCCTCATCCCTGTAGAAATCCAAACCGAAAGGATTAGCAAACGTTTGGACCCCTTGTGCATATGGATTCCTGGAAATTTATATTGGCGTCTCTAAGCCATGCAATTACCCTCTTTAGAGTGAAACAACAACAGCATAAATGCCCCCCCTGAGATAACCAGTGCTTTAGAAAAAATGTTTCAATCGTATGTAATGACTAGTCATTGTGCCCTCCTTAAACTCCCGGTGTCTCTGAGCTAGCTAACACCTCAGCTAGCTCGCCGCATGCTGTTGAACCAATTCCTCTCTCACACCTGCTTTGCATTAGACACTATAAATTAGATGAAAAGCAGAACCACAGCTCACATCCTTGTAGTTGGACAGGCTTCTTCTGCACTTATTTTTTTTTTTACTCTTTTTTGCTCTTTACCAGATGAACCACATGGTTCTGTTTTAATGCCCAGCGCATCTATCAAATAGCACCACATAATAGCTAGCAATGAATGTGGAGAAAGAAAAGGCTTTACACTCGGAGAACAAAGCTCCCCCTGGGGGGAGCTTAGAAATACCTCACAAACATCCAGTACACTGTTGTTCTGTTTATTCAAATAATCCTTCATAATTTTTCAGCTCCACAAGTCCCAAAGGAGAATTTTCCACTTATTGAACATATTTCAGGTTCACTCTTTTTTAGCAGCTTGTACAGTGGGGTACATTATTTTTGAAGTCACACTTTGTATGGAATAATTGAAGTGACAGCAAAAATCATGGCTCAGTGAGTACATACTTCCATTTTAATGTTCTGGTTTCTGCAATTCCTAAGGAGGACGAACAATAGCCTCTCGTTTTTTGTTTTTCAATTTAAAAAACATCTTATTTGTACACCCATGTTTCTATGGTTTGGTACTAGGGCCAAAATGCAGAATATTACACACCTAGCATTGGCTATGTCCTTGTTCCAGGAGATTACATATTTCGAAGCTAGCTACAGATCAGATTAACTGATGTTGAGCTGGATTAAAGTCAATTCTAACAAAATAACACACTGATGCAGTCAAATGTATGTCACCTACAGATATTATATGTCATAATATAGATAATATGTCATATATGTGATTAAATGTTCTTTAAAAATATATATGTCTAACAGGATAGATGGCCAGCGTAGGTATGCTTGTTGTCAGCCTATCTATGCTAATGGACAGCCAAGGAAGTAGGCAAACCAATATGTCACCATATGCTAGTCACTGACCTCTCCAGTGTCAAGTGAGTAGCCTCTCTTTCAGTTGCCAATGGTGGCCAGTTCCAGCTAATCAAATCAGTAGCTAGCTTTGGAATGGCTATAGCCTCCAGTAACAGGGATGTATCTAGCTGGGTGCGCAAAGGTCTTCACCTTCGCCCTAATATTATGTGTTCTTCTTTTATTCAACTTAGCATTAACATGTGTAGGAGGGGATAAATATCAGAAGTGTTGGATAAATCCTGGACATGGACTTTCCTCTGCTGTTGTGAAGCTGGTGTAACTTTTCTAGCTAAAATGCAGAGAATTTGGTTTTGTTACTTGCAGAACTTTTAACAATAGTCTATCCTTGTACAATGACGATCTACTGCGGCTCGGTCTGAACTGAGGCGCTGTTTGAATGCTACATTCATCAGGGTTAGCTTTATTGAGGGGTTTTTCCCAACAGACTTACTGAGTCATAGTACAAACAAAGAGAAATGTCAGTTCGGTTTCAACTCTTAGTTTTTCTTTCATTTGTCGATTGCCAATAAACGGCTCAATATGATCCAGGATGCAGTTCTGTTGAGTGCAGTCTGCTGTCAGAAACTGCCAGGGAGAAACTGCTGAGCTCATTGAGCTGTCACATTGTTTCATGCTAAAACAAAATCCCATTTCTCTTCGATAGGCGCTAATAATGAGCAGAAGTGTCCGTATGTCCCAAGCCACCCTGATGTACTGACTGACAAAGGATCTTACATTAAATGTGATGACAGCTAGTTAAATCTTTGTGCTCATGAATGTTGAGGATCATCCAGTCTAAATATGAGAATAAAGTCAGTCATTGTAGGAGTGTGTGTGTGTGTGTGTGTGTGCGTGTGTCACCAAACCACATACAGGACACTTACATCAGAGGGACAGAATAATACTGAGCTGGTATTATATCCCTTTTCTGGACCGGCAGTTTGTTGGTTACAGGGTAAAAGCTAATGTCAAAGACAGAGGACGCCCAGACCTGTCTCCACAAACCGACTGACCATGCCTCACACACACACATACATAAATTTAATGCCAGAAAACTTTACGACCGTGGATGTCCAGCACAGCTTTAGAGAACAAAGTGTTTAGGAAAATTGGAATATTTTCACAAAGCAGTTTATGTTATCAGGGTATTTTAGTCCAGATAAGTACAGCATGTGTTGTTGCCTCTGCCAAGACAGGGAAAAAAATTCTTCCGTATTTTGTATTTTTATGAGTGACTGCTCTATCATTTTCCACTATGGAAACCCGTGTTCCAGTGGTTTCAGCCATTCACACTGCTTATTAACAGATTAACATTTCTCCTATCCACACTTGACTACCAACCACACAAATCTGGACAGACGGTAGAGTTTCAGTACTAAAAGAAACCTCTGTGAACATGCTCAAGTTAATAGGGTTTCCTATGTTATAGACATTAAAAGTCATTTTTTTAAACCATATGAAAACTTTAGTTTCCTCTTTTTAAAAAACAATGTTGATCTTTTTTGGAGTCTGTTTTTCTATCCCTATTGACGCTTTCTCTGCTAGTTACCTTAAACTTAACATGACACTAAACCAGAGGTCTCAAATGCTGGCCCTCAGGGCCCAGGTGTTACCCTGCTGTTGCACACCTGGCTTAAATGAATGCAGCAAATGGAGGCATCCTAAGGAGCTAATGAAATTATTTGAAACAGGTGTGCTGGAGTAGGGTCACATCTAAAACATGTAGGACAGCAGGTTGGGGACTACTGTACTCAACTAACCTGTAGTGTGTGAAAGATGATATTCCAGTGTATGAGGACTAAGAACTGGTTAACAACAGGAAAGAGTCCTCAAGAGTTAACACAAGGACTTTAATCTCCATTCATTTTTATTTATTTCTATTGCTTATGGCCTTGACGCTCACCCAAAACACATCCAGTACCAATGCATGCCTAATTTAACCCTAACTCAATTCACACCTTAGTCCTGAGCCTAAACCCCAACACTAGAGCACTTCTCCTCATGAGGACCAGGCTTCAGTCCCCACAAGTAGCAGTGGGTATGCATTACTTCATTTTTACAATGCAATAAAAACAGGCTCTAGGCTCTCGAATTTGTTTTGGCTACCCACAATGCACTGTATTATAGTCCACTTCCTATTTGTGGAGCTGTCTCCGGTCTGCTTGCATCCACTGTACATTAGAACCACACCAGAGTTTGATTTAATGAAACCAAGACCTACATTTTTAGGTGGACCAGAGTTCACTTTTTTGATCTCCATCAGAGTTTGATTGCACATCCACACCTCCCCAAACGAACAAGTCTTTCTAGGCAACCTAAGCAGAGTTCGATTACAGCGGACTAAACAGGAGTGGTGTGAGTGCAACCCAAGTGTTCTGTGCTTACCGTTTGGTTTGCCTAAACATTCATATTTACTTCTTTCTGTGCAGGGTCGATGCATCAACTTTACAAGAGTAAAAGACGATTCGGCAGCAACCAAGGCCCCACCCCGTCCTCCAATTCATGCACCATCGCCTCCTCCACCAGACTACCGTCCCATTACCCGCTCCGCCTCCTCGTCTCCTACCTCTTCCAGCCCACCCACCAGATCACCACCGTCAGGCCAGGTGCCTCCAGGGCCCCCGCCGTCCCGCACGCCTCCAGGGCCGCCCTGTCCTCCACCAGCCCGTCCTCCACCCTCCCTTCAACCCTAAATCATGCAGACAAACGTCCTCCGCCCTCCCGCCCTGTCCACTTTGATATCACATTGATATTACTACCCGTCTGAGCATGTATTTAATCTTAAAGGAGGTGGTCCTGCTGCCAAGTATCCTCCTGCCTTCTAGCAAAGATCAGCTGCATGCTGAACCTGAGACATGAGTCTTCCTTCTGTCGTCTGGGATAGAGTCTCAAGCTAAGCTGCAAGCTCACAATTATATGCTCTTGTGCCTTTACATGGTTAACTACGGATTAAGAATCTGCTTGAGTTGAATGCTTTCTGTAACTAACGCCAAAGCAAATGTTGCATAAATCGATGGGCAAAAACATTTCTTTGAACTGTGGTTTAACTTGACATTCTATCTCACACAGATCAAATGCCATTTCTGAGATCTTGAAAGGATTGTTGCTGGACAGCAAAGCAAAGAAGAAAGGGATGTCTATCAATGAAAGATTGAAAGATATTTAAAAATTGTCTATCTTTATCAACTACTGAGTTTTGTGGTTTCTGGTTATTTTTGACACCTTCTCCATTTCGTATCTTTGCAGTTTTGATTATTTAGTGCCCATCTTTTTGGGTCTGTCGCAATAAATTTTGTACGGTATAAAACTCATGGTTTACTAAGCCAAAATTCAATTTTTAAGTATTTTTAAAACAAAATGATTGCATAGACCCTTTGCAACTACGCCACTTGATTAGTTGAGGTGCCATGATGGACGTTGTAGTGACGGACGGGAGTATTAAACAGAGAAGACTGCCATTGTTTTCCAAAGTTGTTTTTGCCGGTATAGCCACAGCTTGCACTCGTTCAATTCAAACTAATTTGTCTGTGGACGGAGCTTACCTAGTCGGGGTTCATAGATAGTGGAATTGACAAAAGTTGGAACTAGTTAGCAGGAATGGAGGGCTCGAGACCGGTCTTGGCCTCAAGCTTTCCCCCCCCCCGGTGTTGGCCTCGGTCTATAATAAAACGTATGTGAAACATGCATAACCGTAAAAACACACAGCAACGCTAAAACATTGTCTTAGCCACACAAGCTTTAAATTAAGACACAAACTTTGCTCTTTCGAACGATATGACAATCGTCGAACTACGTGCAAAACTCACAGAACCAGCAGCCAATACAGAGGAAAAACAAAGCCTATTTTGTCATGCCAAAACTTACCTTCGATGTTTTATAACCAGAATCCGTGTTAGCGAAAATATTTCCACTTTGGTTCCTGCACTCTGTTGTCCTTGCGTCAGCTCTGTTGGCTCCGTGATTTTCGGAAATCCCACGGCATCTATTGGCTCTGATAGTTTCGGGAATTTCCCATGTGAGGCTATTTGTGTTCCTGTGTGTACTAGGCATAATATGTCCAGGATATGTTTTAGGAACAGTGAGTTTTTTAACATCTAATTATTTATGGCTATATTTTTTTTCTGACACATTTTATTAAACTAATATCTCAATTTTTTTCATTTAACATACAACTATTGTGCAATGTAAGCTGATTAATTCAGTTTAGAGAATGTGTATCATTGTGTGGCTGCATTTAGTAACTTAAATATTAGTTTATTATGACCGTTATTAATTTAAAACCAAGAAGTAGTTTTGGTTGACTTTTTTCCATTAATATTTGCATTTTTGGTGTACAAAAAGCAATGTCCTGAAATATTTATTGAAGTCAAACATTCAACTTCAGCCTTGGTCTCGGTCTTGGTCTCGGAAGAACCGGTCTTGACTCCATCCTTCCTAGCTAGCTTAGAAACCGACCCACAAATACTTCGTCCCCTTGAAATGTTTGTTGAGTTGAACAAAAAATTCAACAAACACTTCACAGATTTTTCTTTTTTTAATCGATTTTTCTAACGGTAAAAAAGGTAAAAACCTTTTTTTTATATCTGAAAAAAAGGTTGTTGTTTTTTTCAGATAAAAAACATACAAAAGTCCATAAGCATATTAGTTGTTTTTTTTTTGTATACTGAGGCTACATGATGGTAGCCTCAATAGCCATAGTTATGGATGATTAGACGCATAGCATCTCCATAACGCAATATTTGATTGCATCTTACTATTCATATTTATCAAGTAGATTATTGCTTATTTTTTCACATTGTACCTTACCTTCTTTCCTCGACAAAAGGTTTACGATAAAATGACAAGTTTGGTTTGTGTTCTTGTCTGTTTGTGCAGCATCCTATGAAATCAACAAAATAAATACGATATTAGGCTACCAACCACCGGTAGTTAAATCATGCTTAGGTTGTGTTGACGTCCGTCATGGTGGAGTGGGTCAGTTTCTGAAGAGTGTGACGTCATGTGCAAAGGGTCAAATACATTATGGCTTTAATATATCAGTATGAAAAAGGTTGTTGATGATAAATACCAAATAGAAACAGGAACAGACCAAAAAAATGGAATCCAGTAGGTACAACATAGCAGTACGAATTTGTGAAAGGAGTGAGCTGACCCAGAACCAGTTAGGCTGTTGTTGTAAAGGCAAGAAGTAACGTTTTAAATGAGATGTACATGGATTGGCAAACGGAAGGTTTCGGTGTGGCACTTTTTCACATTAAATGCTACTCAGAGACACCTTAAAGCAGCAAATTCCAGCAATTTATTGGCATAAATATTACAGTGTATGGTTAAGATTTGTGGTCCAGTTTTAGCTAATGGGAGGATGTGTGTTTTTTGTTATGTATTTCAGGTGTGTTTTAAATGTTATGTTGATTGAAATGTTTTAGGTTTGAATTTTGGAGGAAGGTGAGAGGGAAAATATCATTTTGTATGTTTGTTCCTTTTTTTTTATCATTTTGTTTTGATATCCAAGCACATCATCTGTTGTGCAACTAGAGTATGTGTTTGTTTTGTTAGCATCTGGACACTGAAACTAATGCAATCATGCATCCGGAAATCAGAATCAGGTCTCTTTTTTTGTTTTTGCCTTTTTCAGTTTTTCTTTTTTTTTGTAAAACATTTTTGATATTGTATTTTAATGAAGTTCTGTGTATTTTACGTTTTCAGTTTTGTCATTCACCACCGGTCACATTGCAACTGCAGGGCAGTTCAAAGAGCATCTAATTTATTTTACTCCCCGACAGAAATGCTGGAGAGTATCAAAACAATTGACAAGGTGTCCAATCACTGACATTGACACTGTGCGAATTTAAAAAATACATTAGCTATCTGTAAACCCATATTAGGCATGTCAGCGTTGCATGGCACTTTAGTTACACTGTAAAACAGGTTGCTTAAACTAACAGGTTCAGTAGGAATTAATGTCATTTACATCTGAGAAAGTTAAAAATGACAACAACAACAAAAAAATTTAATAAAATGATATTATTTTTAGGGCATTAGCGCAAAAAGTGGGGAGCTGCCAGTGCTGCAGCGCCACCTTGTCTTAATCAAGGGATTTAGCAACTTAACAGAAACATTACTATTTATCAGTACATATTGCACTGATATTCTAGGCGGCAGCAAAATTAATATCAGGTTTTTTTTTATTAGTTAGTTGTTTTTTTTAATTACTTAAACAAAACTGTTGATTTTGGCTAACACGGTATTACACAATATTTGCCCCACAAGAGTTTCTCTAGTTACATTAGAGATTTAATATTAAGAGAGTCGGAATGAAGCAAAAAAAAAAAAGTAAAAAAATTCCTTAGAATCCACTCAGCTGGGAGAAGCTAATATTTGAAGGTGACAGTGAGTCTATGTGTCATTATATTCAGTATTTTCCAGATATCCAGTCTATACAGATATGCCGCACACCGCATTTTTAAAAAATCTCTGCTTTTAAAAATATGTTCTGTTTTAATTCCAAAAAAGTCTTTGTACATGGATTGGAGGAGCAAACAAAGAAGAAACATGTTTGCTAAATATTTGTGTTTTTGTGAACAGTGTATAAAGCTAGCAGTAGTAGCGCAGCACAGCTCAGATCTACAGGAATTCAGAAAAATGGTTATTTAGATCGCCTGTAGGTAATTGCAACAAATTTAAGGCTTTTTTGGGGGCTATTTCTGTTTATGTATAGGAAATTAATAACAACCATGACATAAGGTCTAATCATCTGGTTGATTATGTCTAGATTGAATATTCTTCTGCTAAAGACTTTTCACGTTTTCTTTCGTAAACTTCACCAGTTCTTCCCGCTGACCTGTTAAAGGCTCTATAGAAGAAGTTTGCCATACTTGTAATACTGTTTTACAAAGGCTCCTGGGATTTTTGTTTCATTTTGCGTATGTCAGGTATGATTTGTATTATTTTGAAACATGGACGTTTCAGCGGTTTTTGTAACATGCCAACTCACTGTACTCAAAAGTTTCTGTGCTTCAATTGAATTAGTTCTGATGTTATGTTGTAATCACCTTGAACAGAACGACACAGACGAGACACTTATCTTCATGTCCTTGTCGTCATTTACACATTCCTCCTATTTTGAGTTGTATCATTATCATTGTCTTTAGCATGCTTTAATGACTAAACGTCAGATTACATGTAAGTGTAAAAACCTGTTGCATTTTACATCGTTGTTCTTCAGGAGCTGGAATTAGCATTAAGGCTTCCCATAATACAGTTACATTAGGGGTTTTTTTATGACAAACTAATTGATTCATTCAAATAATTTTTTTTTGTTACTTTTTGAAGGAAACTTTTCACAGCTTTTTACATGAGCAGTATAACCAGTAGTATCAAAAACAATGTAAATGATGGTTGATTTGCTATTGTTAGCTGATGACTTTTTTTTACAGTACCAATAAAGTTTTTCTCTTATCCTTCTCCTGGAAAAAAAAATCATTTTTGTACATTTTCCATGTCACTATCTGCATGTTTGGAATTGGTATTTATTTAGATTATGGGTGTCACAATAATTGTAACAGAACAGGAGGGCATCAAATGTTACACATATATTTCACCATGCCAGGATTCATGGCTAGATAGAAAGCAGCATGATTCACTGCAGACTTTTTTTTAAACTAATGCAAAATTCCCATATTGTTGAAGGGTTTTAAACGGGAATAATTAAATTACTGTATTTTTTAAAAACGTTTCCATGGGTTGGATAAAAAGTGGCGCATAGGCCGTTTAGACAGCTAATCCTCTCTCTGTCTAAACAGCTTCCTGGTTTTCAATTTGTTCAGACTGCTGCCTGTTAAAATACAAGTTGCTAGAAATGCTCCACAGAACAAACCCCAGTTTGAAAAAAAATCTATTGAAGCTTTCAAGTGGAAAAGTAAAAAGCTGAATAGTTTAGTATGCAAGCTAGCTCCCTAATGACTTCCATGTACTTTTGTCATCTCCATTAAAAGTCTTAGAGCTCCATTTAAATTATTCCAGAAACTCCAATGGGTTCACCTACAGCCTCCTCTTTATCAAAAGTGTTGACTCTTTTAGCCAGTTATTAACATGTTAAACCTAAGCCGAAGTGTAGCAGTTAGTAACCATCCTCCACAACCCACGACAACTAGCGAGATCTAGCTAGCTGTTGTGCTATATGAAAATACATTCTCTGCTGTAGAAGGGTTTCCAAACTTTGAATTTGATACAGTCAAAAGAGCAACCATGAGCGCTTCCAGCTACATAATTAGTGTGGAGTCTACATTTTTTCCCCTCTGCATGCAGAGGATCAGAGGATGTGGGATGTTGAAAGGGGCTGGCTGAATAAAAAAAAATGAAGAATGGAGAAAATGAGGCAGTCAGTCCTTGAAGCAGACAGGAAGGAGCGAGCTTGCAAAATAAAAAGAAATAAAGAATAAAAAGTGGAAACAACAACAGCTTGAACCCTCTCTCTCTCTCTCTCTCTCTCTCTCTCTCTCTCTCTCTCTGTCCCATCCAGTTCACCATCCCTTCATTGCCTACAGCAACGCTATACCAATAAGGCATTTAGCAGAAGCTAATTCTAAGGCGCTAAATCTAATCAATAACATTATGTCAACATAATATATCTCCCTCAACATAGTCAGATTTGTTATTACGCAGCTTCCTGTATAGTTGTGCTTGAAGAAGTGATTGTTTGGGACACACTTTCCAGTCAGTTTTTCAGTTTTATAGTTGCTGCGTCAACTCCCACTTTAACATATAAATATAAATGTCCAACTACATGAAGAATCCTTAACAGCCAATAACAAAAACTTCAGCATAATGTTGAACTTTATTCAACTGAAAGTTTACAAAATCACTAAGTAAGTTAGCACTCGAGAATTCAACCAGAAAAATTACTTTTGGGGAAGTTAGGTGTGCTAAGAGTTTCCAGAGTTAGCAAAAAGGCTAAAGTGCTGCACAAAACATGTTCTATTAGTAGATTTGCAGAAGTGTTTGAAACCATTTGCCTAAAGTTGAATCTCTGTCCAGTTCTTCTCTGATGACCTCAGCTACAACATCTTTAAACATGCAGCTTAGAGACTTCATCTAGTCCAAAGCACCTAAATCCATCTAGGAGTCTGTATCAGTACTTAAACATTGATCCAGTCTGGAAGGCTTGAAGGGGCTCTGGATGAAAATGTTCCGTAAAAGACCTGCAGTTGTAACTGCACTGAATATTACAAAATATCGAGTCATGATAGCCATTTAAAAAGGTTTCACAACCATGTATCTTTTTCCCTCCCATTGCTAATTTTATATGATTTGAGTTAGTCTATCATAAATCCCAATAAAGTATGTTGAGATTTGAGGCCGTGGGGCGATTAAAAGTGGATAAGTTCAGAAATATAAAACATGCATTTTGTCAGCTGGAAGTCTTTAGCATGATTGTGCGACAGCGGCCATCAGGGGTTCAGACTGGCAGATTTATGAAAGCATGCAGAGCTTTAAATTGGCGGATGGAAGGGTGATGTGCATTTTCATGATCGCTGTAATCTTGAGCATCTGTGTCAAGTTTGAAAAAATGAACTTGTTAAACTCTGCGGT